AAATTAAATAGTTATGAATTTCATGAAAATATGTTATTAAAATTAATTGTTAACTTTGATTTAGATTAAAATTTAAATTTCAATCGATAGCAAACGTGATTTAAAAAAAAAAAAAAATTGAATCTCAAAAGTTGGGGGGCACCTGCCCCCCAGGACCCCCCTTGGGTCCGCCCATGGTTCCTTGAAATGTGTGGATAAAAAATAGTTTGACCATTTATGAAAATTAGCCCGACATTACTTGTTACTGCTATCCGTCTCACTAATGTTTCATGTCATTGTATGCGGGGACGGGATAAGATCCTACTATGCTCTTTCTCCTCTCTCTCCTTTTTCCCATTTAGTCCAGAGGTCTTAATGACTCACATATGGCTCTCAATCTCTCATGACATTTGGATTTTGAATTTATAGCTATTGGCAGCAAATGGGACATGCTGCAAGAACGATGCTACTGCAGGGAAATATAACTAAAGTCTAAACGATTCAAGGGAATGGAAGAACATTATGTCCTTGATTTTTGGAAACTTCAAATAATAATTTGTCTCTATACCTACATGGCAATGTTTTGCATGCTATATCCACTAAAGAGTATAATACTCAAAATTTTAGTTTTTTTAAAGTTTTCTAGTACTCTACAGTCCACCCCTACCAAACGATCCATCAAATTCTTAAAGAATTTCCTACCGCCAACTGCGAAAGTGTTACTCTTCAAATGCAGTTTGTTGTACATGGTCTTGTCTTGTTGCCTACATTCTTCTTATCACCAATTCTAATGGCATTATGTTTGCTGTTATTTGAATATCTTCAAAACTATATTTTTCTTCATTTTTCATTTGTTTTTGGCATCTACCAAATTTTCTGCTAATTAAATGCTGTTGAAATGAAATTTACATACAATATTGATGGCTATTAAATTTTACGGAAATATGTTCACCATAAGCTAGAAGGCGGGTGAAATTTAGCCCCTTGACTGGTTTAGTTAAAAATTAGATTTTTTTAGTAGATTTTGATAAAAGTTGATGATATATATGATTGAAAAGTTGTTATTCCTAAAAAAATATGTGATTGAAAACAGGGGCGGACCTACTTGAGGCCCGTGGGGTCCGTCGTCCCCACTCAATTTTCAGATTTCTCGATTTTTCTTCAGATTTTTTTTAGTTTTTTTGTCCAGGTTTTTTTTAGGTTTTCAAATTTTTTCCAACATTTTTTTGTTTCACCCCCCAATTTCATTCCTGGGTTTGCCCCTGATTGAAAATAAGTTTTAGAAAATGAGGGTCAAACATGGACTTAGTTTGGTTATATGATAAAAATCTTTAGATGGGAGAAATAAATTAAAGAATTTACATTCTATGTTGGTCAATCTTGATTTTTATCTTTAGCGCCTGTCTGGGAGAAATTTTCATCAAATTTGTAAGTAAAAATCATATCGTTATATAGTAGATGCGCCACAATTAATGATCAATTTTAAGTAGAATGACCAATATGCCCATTTAACAATTAATTCAATATTCTTTTGAAAATTTTTGGTATTTTGTTTCATATGGAGTCAAAAATAACGTCACAAATGAGACCAATACATTTGCAGCGGTCAGAAAATAGATTAAAATTTGTCCAAAATTGCTCCCAGACTGGGGCTTAGTTTGATGAATAAAAGTGTTAGAATTCAAGAACCTAAGTTATCCCCTTTAATCTTGCTTCTCAAGTTCAATATCAGAGTTTATTTTCGGTCAACTTCACTAATTTAATTAATTTGTCTTTCTCAAGTTTAAATCAATTATATTTAGCCCATATTAGGGTTCTATTATTACAAAAACACATTTTTTGAAAACTCATTTTCAATTACACATTCTTCCATAAAATAATTTTATATATAAAACAAAAAAATTTCTTTATTTTTTAAGAACACATTTTCCAAAAATTTACTATTCAAAAATACATTTTAACTCAAAAATGAGAGAGGCTTAGTCAAGTCAACTCATTACTATCTTTACGTAAATCTGATAACCCTTAACTAAACATATTAAATCGCCTGAAAATTCAATGAAAAACTGCAACAATAATAAAAGTGTATATCTATGAATTATGCTACATGTACAATATTGGTTGACAACATATTATTTGACATCATTATATTTATCCATTTAAAAAAAAAATTCTACATCATATGTTAGGATTTTGATAACACATGATTGTCAATAATTATTGTGTACGCTTAAATTTAATAAAAATCAACAATAACGATTAATTTTTTAATTTCAATCTCTACCGAAGACGTCATTATTCTCAAGCGTATTTAAAATCACTCTTCTTTTTGTCAAAGTTTGCTAATTTTTTATTGATTTTTTTGTCAAATAACCTCATTCTGCGTAGAAAAACTTATTTATAACGACTATCCTATATTTTTCAGATTTTTTTTTTTTTTAGATAAGCCAAGCATGTTCAACTTTTATTACTCGCTCTACGAAGAAGATTGTACACATCAATACAAGTCTTTTCTTTTAATAAAATAATTTTATTCTTATCTTTATATTCTTCAAAAAATTGTATTATAAGTGTTTGTTTGAGCTCTATTTTTTGAAGAATAAATTTTATAATAGTGATTATTTGAATAATGTGTAATTAAAAGTAAGAAAAGATTTAAATTTATATGTAAAAATATTTTATTGAGAAAATGTGTAGAAAATAAATTTTGAGAAAGATAAAATTTTCAAATAATAAACTCAAAACCATTAACAAATAAAAGCCCCACCCCATTATACTATAAATCATTAACAAATAAAAGCCCCACCCCACCCCTTCCCCTCGTAGATATGATAGACAGCCTGCAATTTTGATTCGTACTATAATGCCCACAAATCATTCACTTACATTATTAGGGGTTTTTTTTTCTAAAAAAATTTATTATGCACCTAAATTAATAGAAAAAGAATTTATATTTGAACGAAATATTTAGTGCTTGTTTGTCTACCATTATTGGGATGAAAATAGTGTAATGAATAGTATTTTTTGAAGAATGTATGGTTGAAATTGAAAGAAATTTTATCGATTTATGTATAGAATATTTTATTATTTGAATGTGTGGTGAAGATTGATTACTGTAAAAAATAATATTTTGAAAAATGGTAGACAAACAGGGGCTTATGTTTATTATGCAATTTCAAATAAAATGGTAACACAATTATGATTAGGTTATTTCCACTTTTGCCAATTTTATTATCATTTACTATTTTAGATGTATCTTTGCCACGTACAATTAGACTAGTAAATCATTCTCATTTGTAACATACAATTAAACTAGTAAATAATTCTCATTTGTATTTTATAAATCGTAGTTTGTTTCACAATATAAAAAGTTGAATTTAGGATGTGTTTGATTGAATTTTTTTTTAAAAGAAAAATGGCCTTTTGAATATTACTTTTATACGTTTAGTATATAATATTAGACGATATTATTATCGACCTGATTTTAATGTACCATAGATTGAGCCATTGTATGATATACATTATTCAATAAAATAATATTTTTCATCACATTAATAATTTTTTCTTACTTTTTAACTACATATTTCTCATCATATCACAATGTAAAATACATTTTTTCTCAATAATATCTATCAAACACACCCTAATACTGTCAGGAACTATATCTTATTCGATCAAACTTCGAAGGATGTGAAAGTTTTTAACTTTTTTAGTTTAGTGCATAACATAAATATTATTTCTTAAAATAGGTTTAGAATTGAGGGAGGGTAAAATAATTTGAAAGATACTTCCAAAGACGACAGTTCGTGGGAAGGAATCTTTTCTCAGTGGTGATTATGATCGCTGTCACTCGATAAGCTCTAAAATTTGTTCCACCTAATTCTGCAATATTTCTTCGTCTCCGCACCAAATCCACTTATACATACGTACATACATACTCACGTTCACGTAGTGAGAGCGTTTCTGTAAATTGGGCTAATGGGGTGGCAAAGAAATCTTTCGATTGGAAGTTTTACAGGAGCATTCAAGAAGTCCAAGTGGTTGTTGTGTGATAATGCTGGCCTGCGCCGGGGCTTCTCGGCTTCGGCTTCGGCTCCGCCGGAGTTGCCGGGTTTTGATTACGAGCCGAAGCCGTACAAGGGTCCATTAGCCGATGAGGTGCTCGAGAAGCGCAAGAAGTATTTGGGTCCTTCTCTTTTCTATTATTATCAAAAACCCGTAAGTCTATTTTCTTTACTTGCGTATTGGGATGGATTGAATATTTGATTGGGAACTGATCATTTTTAACTTTCGGATTGGGAATCAATTTTTTTTTTTTTTTTGATTACCCATTTTTTTCAGTTTTTTGAACATTTTGATTGGTGTAGTTTATTCCTCTCAGTCTGTGTTTCAATTTCCTTTTAGGTTGTTTTTTTTGCACTTTTTAAATAATATTGCTGATGATTGCAAATGATAATTGTTTGCTCTATGATGATTGTTTGCGCTGAATTGCAACTTTTGAGAACGAATTTTTCAGTTTCTTTGGATTGATATATTTTAGCTTTTGCTGGAATTGCTCTGAGTTCTCTTTTTTTGTATATGTGCTCCACAAATGAGCTATTAAAAAATCTTTAATTTGGATTACATATTCAGTTTACCTTAAAAAGTTATATATTCTGGAAGTAACGTATGTGACTAAAACTTGCAACAAAATGCATCCACCGTGGTTGGTGAAGTTCAGACAGATGGTATACAGAAACTCCAATGGATCTTACCTACATTCAATCTCGACTCATCTAAAGCTTGTGTAAGATTTGATTGGGAGTTTCTACTCTTTATACAAACCTCTAAGAGAACTAGAGAATTTCTTGAATGCTAACCAATGATTTCTCTCTTTCTTGGTGTGTTTTGGCAATGGACAAGCACCTGTATACATAGCATACTTGACTGACACTTTTGCACAATTTAGCAAACAAATCTTGCCAAAAACAATAAAAGATTGAAATAGACTGTAAAGGCATGCAAAAGTCATCTAATTATGGTTATGTACTGTTTAACTTTTTTATCTACAATATTTAACTTTGTAGCAATACTTTAATTCAAGTTATGAGCCTATTTCTCAAGAAATATTAACCTGAGCTTGAACAACTCCAAGCTCAACTCGTGAAGGCTCATTTACACCTCTAAACTCAATTAGCTTCTTTCTTTTTTCTTTTTCGTCTTCCAGTTCATTATCTACGCTGTCACATTAACACTCTACATTCCTAACATATTTTATTTGAACAGCTCAACATTGTTGAAGGGAAAATGCAGTACCTGTATGATGAGAGTGGAAGGCGTTATCTTGATGCATTTGCGGGAATAGTTACTGTTTCTTGTGGTCACTGTCATCCTGATATTTTGGATGCCATAACGGAGCAAAACAAGCTTCTTCAGCATGCAACAACCATATATCTACACCATGCAATAGCTGATTTTGCCGAGGCTCTAGCATCTAAAATGCCTGGAAACCTGAAGGTATTTCGCTTGTTTAGAGCTTTTTATAGTTTTCATCAACCAATGATCTATGTGGTTAACTACAGTGACATCCTAAATCTTCTGATCTGTTGAACATTCCCGATAGGACATTTTCCATGACATCCCTTAACTTCATTCTTCTGGATTGCAGGTTGTGTTTTTTGTAAATTCAGGAACCGAAGCAAATGAATTAGCTATGTTGATGGCACGACTGTACAGTGGCAACCTTGGCATGATTGCCTTAAGAAATGCATATCATGGTGGGAGTTCTAATACAATTGGACTGACCGCGCTTAACACATGGAAGTACCCAATCCCACAGGTTTGTCTTTAGATGGACTGCCAATTTTTCACTTAAGTGTTTGGATTCTAATTTCTCTTTCAAAGTTTTCAGCTTCTCCTTTCCTGTTCATTCCCTTTTTTTCGATTTTTTCTTTTATCTTCCCTGTATATTTTTTTTATCAGTTGATTGCCTTAAGAAATGCATATCATGCATAAATCTTTATTTTTATACATTCTTGTTTTCCAATGAAGTTACACTATTTCAGTTTTGATTTTAAATTTTTGCAAGTTATATCTTTTGAATTTGAGGAGATATTTGTTGTGTAAATACAAATATGGGATGTGCTTTTTTGCTTCTAGTGCTAAAAAAAAAATTATGTGTATAACAAATTTGGCATGACACCATACAACTTTTTCTGTCATAATATTGACTTTTTTCTTTCTAATGATCTAATAATCAATATTTCCCCTACAGAATGGTTCTTCTTGTGTCCATGACATGTCAGGGTTCTGTCCATTACATATTTGGGCATTGAAAATGAATTTGAGAAAAAAATGAGATTTAGAAAATGGGGCCGAACAGGGGCTATATCTATCTTCATCCTCTCTTATGCTCTATTGACTGCTATAAAGTTTTGCAGGGTGAAATTCATCATGTTTTGAATCCCAACCCATACCGTGGAGTCTTTGGTTCTGATGCCAGGCATTACGCTGAAGATGTACAAGATCACATTGATCACGGTACTTCAGGAAAAGTTGCTGGTTTTATAGCTGAAACAATTCAGGTTTGTGGTGATTCCTTTTCTTTCTAATGGTATGAAACTGGAGTCTGGTCAAACTGCTGCATGTAATCCCAGATGTCAAATAATTGTTTTATCTTCCTGCTATTGACCATCAATGATTCAATTCTTACATATTGACAACTATAGGGAGTTGGAGGTGCTGTTGAATTAGCCCCAGGATACTTGAAACTGGTTTATGACATGGTTCATAAAGCTGGTGGTGTCTGCATTGCCGATGAGGTGCAAACTGGCTTTGGTCGGACGGGAAGTCATTACTGGGGTTTTGAGACACAGGGAATCGTTCCTGATATTGTTACCATGGCAAAGGTTTGTGGTACTAATTTAATTGTATCATATACGTATAGGTAGTTTCTTTTGTTTTTCTGTTAGGTTGGGCTTTGTTCTTTCTATGTGCAGTGTACATCTTAGACAACTCATGACATGGGAATTTATATACTCCTCAGGGTATTGGCAATGGTTTACCCCTTGGAGCTGTTGTAACAACCCCCGAAATAGCTAGTGTTTTGGCTCAAAAAATACAGTTTAACACCTTTGGAGGCAACCCTGTATGTTCAGCTGGTGGACTTGCAGTTCTCAGGGTTCTTGATAAAGAGCAGCGCCAAAAGCATAGTGCAGAGGTTGGCTCTCACATGATCCAGCGTCTAAATGATCTCCAGAAAAAGCACGATAGTAATTTTCTTCACCTGAGCATCTTATAAATTTATCATTTACTTTCTTTATATGATAATTCCCTCACAAATTTTATATTCTTTTGTTTAGCTATTAGTTTTTATTAGTGTAGAACTGAATTTGATTGAAAAGTGAGGTTTAAATTCACAACTTTTGCATATTGACCTTTTATGAGCTTATATTTTTAAAAAAATTTCTTCTCATCAACCTTTTCTTCATCTGAAAATTCACAAATAAGATTAAACTTTATAGATTGTAGCTCACACTGACTTCTCTTTGCTTAAGAGTGCGACTCTGGCAAATTATTATTCTTATTCTTCAGTAAATTGATACTTTTGGCTTCTACAGAACTTCTTGAAATGTTTGTTTGCAGGATGAGCCAATTTAGGCAATAATTAGCAAATTAACTGCTTTACCTATTTATAGTGGAACGCTAGTGACTATTTTATCTTGTAAGTAATTTGGAGGTGAATTTTTTGCACACTAGCCAAAATTATAAGCTCTCTCAACTTTTGGAGTAGGTTGATAAACTTGTTATCATGACATGCTTACATAGAAATTTATGTGACTACCTACAAAGAAAAGAAAATCACCTTGGTTTATAGTCTTGTTTACTAGTTTCCAAACCCCTAAAAGAAGAAACAAACAATCTAGAAGAGTAGACCTCTCTTGGATTTTCTGATTAGTGATTCTCATTGCCGAAAATGTTCGAAAATCATTACTTTTACTTTGATGTAACTATTGACTAATATTCTTCCAATTTCTTACTCAGTAATTGGAGATGTGAGAGGAAGGGGCTTAATGGTGGGAGTAGAACTCGTTACAGACAGAAAAGAGAAGACACCTGCCAAAGCAGAAACAGGAGTCTTGTTTGAAAAGCTTAGAGGTTTGTAAAACAAGTCGAAACGCGACTGAAGAAGAACTCTAAACTTAAACTTCCACATTTCCTATGTAATTCAGCTGTTATACTTGAGTTTTTTCGTTTATGTAGAACTCGGTGTTCTTGTCGGGAAAGGTGGACTTCAAGGAAATGTTTTCAGAATAAAGCCTCCAATGTGTTTCACCAAAGATGATGCAGGTATTCTCTATACCTTGTTGGTTTTTCAGCAACTCCACCCTTTTCTGTACTGTCAGGTCAATTCGTATGTAATTTAAAGCATTCGACCTCTATATGCTTTCATAGTCTCTGATTGATCATTCTTGTGCAGATTTTCTTGTTGATGCTCTGGATTATGCCATGTCTAAGTTGTGAGAAAATGATAATGTTGAAGTTCTCAGGGGATCAACCAAGAAAAAAGCAGCTTATTTTCAGAAGTATAAAGAATTTATACCAAAAAAAACTCCACACTAACTTCTGGTCCTACTGAGAAAGAAGGGGGAAAGAATATGTTTTTAAAGAATAATGTGACTTCTGTGCAATTACAGTTGTTTATGGCACAACTCGTATTACAACAGATTATTTATTGCCTGCTTCTGTTATGTGTGTGCATCGTCAAGTAATGCCAGCCGCGTGATAAGTGTTTATTGCTCCGTGTTATGTAGTTCAATATTTTGCATCATTGAGTGGTGCTAACTTTTAACATTTTAGTTGTACTTGAAAGCATCTCAAGACTCGTGTAATCAGAAGCACTCAGAAACCAGCAAGTACGCTAATTCATAAAGATACCCAAAATAAGAAGACTTTGATGTCTGTGAATTTACATAATGAGTTCTACAGACTTGCAACAGACGTACGAAAATGTATAATCATCAAAATAAGCAAAGGAAGAAAAAGAAAAGTAATCGGAATGAAAGAGAACGAAAGAGCATTAGCAAACTTCCTCTTGATAGACTAACTAATCATATTTACTTCTCAATCATACGAAGATCAAAAAATTGCAGCAGCTAATTTTCGCATGTATACTAAGCAATATGCAGATTTAGCTGATGAAGCATGAGTTGCATATTAGGAAGATTCACGAGAACGAGAAGTCCAAAGAGAACTTAGAACCCGAAGGCGTTGAAAATACTCCCCTAGAGCAAGGAGGCCCTGAGCTGCTTGGCGAGTGGTAAGGTTGCGAGAAATCTGTAGCAATGTTTCTTTGCGAAGATGATCTGCCTGTTCACAGAACACCAAAAAATGAAAAATGTTTGACCATTGAAGCGAGTTTTGCATAGACATCCTAGATTTAGAGTTGTAGACATCGACCATTACATACGCCATCCCAGGAAAAAGGCATAGAAGAGTACATACACTTGTGCAATGTGATAGTTTGAAAAATTCCCAAGTTTCTACCAAAATGAGGTGCAAAAGATCCACAAATTAAAGTGGTAGGCTAAGCATCAAATACTTCCAGGGAAGCCAGTTGTTTAGTAAGAAAAATTCCCAAGTCGAGCTAGCTTTAGACGGCTTTTCAAACAAGCTTAGGTTTCTGTGGGCATAAATCCTTTAGATTAATCCAACATATAAAGGTATTTTGGTTAAGCTTACACAATTAGGCCACATAATGAGTGAAAAAGAAATCAGTTCTCTAGAGATGGTTATTTCCACACCCATAGTCCCTTTGAAATATCTACCAATGTTAAAATATTTGACACCACTTTTTTAACGACTACTGCATGAAGCAGAATATCGTGATATAAAACAAGTTAATATTCCCAGTTATGTTCGTTCCCGCCATGTCGATGTCAAGAAAAAGGATAGCACACTAAATATCTCTTAAATCAGAAAATCAGGTCGAAACATCGTATATTACCTGGCCCACAAACCTCACCATAGCTTTTAATTTCTCCAATGCAGCATTGATCTGAGGGAGGTAGTTCCCTTCCCCCAGTTTACAATCTGCTACAGTCTCGGAGAGAATTTGGTGGAGTCTCTCCAATCCCTGTGACAAAGCATCTTCTGCTTGCTGACATGATAGTCTAAGGTTAGAAAGCTCCAAATGTTGTTTCTCAGTTAAGGAGTCAAGATGTGGCATGAGAACCTGTTGATAAATATAATGTTACGGGGAATCATGGATCTAACATTTAGTGAACAATTTGATTATCATTTTCAAAAGTCCCATAAATTGAGCGGACACAACTTTATCTTTTAATATTTAACCGACTGTAGAAAGAATGGAGATCGTGTAATCAATGGTACATTTGTTATGGTTTTTGCAAATAAACGCCATCATTAATTGAGGCCAGCTGATATAGATAATAAAAAGTTGATTTTAATGACGAGGAAAAAGAGAAGGGAGAAACAGTGAAGGTGGGGATTTAAGAATACCTTCCCTAACTCATTAGAGTAATATAACAAGATTGGGAGAGGATAATGATCAAGATGAGGAACTGGTTTTCTGAAGATTGACAAAAGGTTTTTTACACGTAGAAATCCTGGTCGTAGCAACTCAATCTTTTAAATCAGTTATTGATACATCTAAATACGATCAGATAGAAAACAAATTTACAAGAAATGATCCAATACGTCTAGCTACGAACTTTTGGATCTTGACAACTTCCTTTTGAATCATATAGTTCTATCTTAAGTAAATATTCTAGGAACCTGTTGGCCTCTATTTAAATCAGGAAAAAGAAAGATAAGCAGTGCATCACAATCTGGACTCTGGAGAGAAGTATGCATTACCTTTAAAAGCCCTGATGGCCGAAAGCCCCCAATCCACGATAAAAAATGTTCAGCTGATGTTTCCCACATGCCAGACATAAGATACAATGCATCAGCCTTTGCGGCTGTTTCTTTCATAGCAAAGAGATTCAAATAGTGGTTCATGCCATCGTCAACAAAACTCCTCAATTCCAAATCTGTAATGGCAGAACACAAAGCATTCCTCAAATCATCGGTTTTCTTATTTTGTTCTTCCGCCCAGTGTCCATACGCCATTTCAAAGGTAGCAATACCTGGAGTTCAACAACAAAGCTGATAGCAGGCATGAGAAATTGAAGAGAAGAACTTAAAGTGTCTTGAAAGCGAAAGAGACTTTTGAAGGTCAAGCAATGAAACTAAATCAAAATAAAACGCTGTCCCTTCTATTAGAAGTTATATCAGCAGGCAACATTTTAGAAAAAAATGTCACCTTTTGGATTCATTTACTGCAACATAACTTCAAAACGGAAGAAAATTTCTCACCGTTTCTTTCAGAACCAAATGATATTATTTTAAAAACCTGTTCTATGAAAAATGGCCAATATTTTTTTGGATATGAAACTGCTCTAGTATAGCTATTTGCTTAGCTTGCATTTCTCATTTTCAAGATGTACATTAACATTACCCAATCAGACAATCTAATAGACACAGAGAATCTATATATGGGTACAAATCTCAGCAACGAACTTCTAATGAATTTGTTGACTCTCCATACAAAACTAACTATGATTTCTCTACGCAGAATGTGATAACCAAATTCAAGGAGCATGAAACTACCTAAGAAATCTAGCTCTGAATATGTGTAAACAACAGGTTATTGCAACTTTGAGTACAAACAGGGTTCAATTTAAGGCAATGGTGGCGGGTAAAACTACAAACCTGGGTTTGTAGTTCTTGAATAGCCTAGCTGACCAGTATCTAATCCACCACCTATATACAGTCCCTGCAGCAAAACATTTTTGTGTTAGATGTCTTTCCCTTTGAAGAACAAAAGGAGATGGATACTGAAAAGCATTGCTCAATCTCCGCAGGAATGAATAGAAAAGTGCAAAAACAATGATGTGGAGAATATCTAACATTCTTTCTTTACCTGTTGTCTAGCCCGTTCAAGCTCCTGTTCTAACTGCATAAGTCTCAATTTACTATTTTCTAATTGCTGAACATAAGCCTGCAAAAAAGTATAGACACAATTTATAGTATGAATACCTAAAAGTTACACAACAAATATTTTCTAGTAAGGAAGAAAGAAAAATAAGAAATCCTATTTCGCATAAGGGTATATACTGCAACTGTCTCCACACCTTTTTCCGCAGACGACATTTGCGAGCAGCCTCGCGGTTCTGGGCTAGGCGTCTCAGTTGCTACAAATGAAACTCCATTGTCAACAATTTTGGACATGTATTTATTATTTTAAATGCTGACAACGAGAGTTAAAATATGAAAGTGGACTTCTGGATTTGTCAGAAGGACAAACAAAATTCAAAAAAAAAATTTAAGATTGGATCTCAGTCAAGATTATATGCATTGGTGAAAACTGATATTCATAGTATTACTCACTCACAAACTCCATACTAAGATCAGTAAGAGGTAAAAAGTTCTTGTAGTGCCACATACTGGCAACCATAAAGACTTTGTGAGATTCTCTTTTAACATTTTCTAAACATCTCTGTGTGCCCCCCACTAAAGTGCATGTCTTATGGATAATATGAATACATTATTCAGCTGCAATTCTTTAGACTAGTCAAATCACTAATAAGTGATCTAAGGTACCAATTCATGAAAGACATTTGTCTTGTATATCAAATTCAATACAAATAAACTTGTCAGAGCAGGCTTATGGATTATAATAACTTGGATTCAGGATATGTGCCTTGCTTCAAAACAATGAAAATGGACCACAAAATGGTTAAAGTATGTGAACGGATTGCTTGTGTCATTCAAGGACCCCAGTAAATACAAAGGAAAAGGTTTATAAGAAGAGAAAAAATAGCAGTTGATATGAGAATATATGTTCACTAACCATATGAAAGTCAACAAAGTAACACTGTCTTTACCTTATCATTCGTTTTACTCACTTCTTGATCGTATTTATTGGAAGGTCCTACCGTTCCATGTGAAGTATCCTCTGACTGGACATATATAACGCACGAGTTGATAAACATGTGTCAAAAGAACATAAGGCAATGAATGCAAATGATAAATAATACAAACTGCACCAGGTTGCCAAATCCAGAGTCGACCTCCAGAATAACTGGCAGAGGTGTGTCCAGACAGTTATTTTCTTTATAATCATTCCACATGCCTATTTGGCGCATAGACTCACATATACCCATCCTTCTTGAGGGAACAAATTGTGTCGATGCAGAATTCATTCTGTTTTACCTGTTTATCAATAGAACTCAATGAGCTACTACCATAATTTGATAATTAAATAAATCATACAAAAAAATACATTTTGATTTACTATGAAAACATGGCAACTTGAACTTAAATCCTGAGAAAAGATAAGGGGACAACCATTGAACAATAAGACTAGAGTTTTGAACAGAGAACTTGTCCAAGATTCTATACAGTTGCTTGATACTTAATATGTTCATATTTGATTAAACATAACAGATGCATCGCATTGATTATTGGCAGCAGAAGCTGTGAGAAATATAAATAGCATATCAGTAAATACCAGAAACTTCCATAAGAAGATAATGTCACCACAGAACTGCTCAGTTTAATCCGTATATTCTCCGCAGCCAGGTGAGGGGTTGGTGCTACTTTCATTTAAATAGTCTGTGTCATATGATTTTGGAGGAAGGAAACAAACAAATAAAGAATTAGATAGACTTGTTTCCATTGCTCGAGCATATAAAGTTTTAACCAAAAAACCCTATGAAATTCACGATGAACCCCATTCGCAGTGTTTAGTCTACTAGACAAGCGAACAAAAAGGGCATTGCCGAGTTAATCACCGTAGCATTGTCTTTAATTTCTAGCATTGAATAAAAAACACTTCACACCAGAAATCAATGTCTTGTAATAAAGAATCTGTCATTTGACAAGCAAAAGCATCCAAAAATGAAGAAGAGATGATAATCAACACGCCTGCGTAAGAGGACAACAGATACACGAAAAACAACCACAAAATAAAATTCTGCTCCAACACACGACGGAAAAATCTAATCCATTTCAAACCTTACCCAACATTTCGTAGTCCCAAAAAAGCATTCAACACTACTATTAGAACTCTTGCCTCTCCTATTGACATGAAAAGAACAATAAAGAAAAAAGATTACTAGAACTCTTGTTTTCACAAACACCTCTCTCTATTATGAAAATAAAAAATAACCAATCAAACTGCTTAAAGCACTTGTCTTTGGCTAGTAGACACCAAATCAGAAAGAGCAACTGATTCTTGATGCTCAAACATAAGTATACACACACGAATAAACAAACAAAAAGAGCAAGAGCCAACTCACTCTACACGTACATGTGTATAAACTGATAAAACTTGTATTAATAAGAAAAGAAAAGATGAAGAAAAAAGAAGGAAGAAACATCAACCTTTGACAATACTGGAGGATGAAGAAAAAAAAAGGAAGAAACATCAACCTTTGACAATACTGGAGAAAACCCTCTTTAAGAATAAGAATTCGCTCTCAATTTGCGGGTTTCCACAGAAGAAACTGAAAGTAGATTACACTGTCCAAGAACCCATCTTTCTCCATGCGTAGTAAGTTGCAGTGAAGAAGAAGAAGAAGAGAATCGAATATGAATATGATTGTGAACGCAACATCTTTTCGAAATATTTATATTTAAATTGAATTTTCAAAAAGAAATATAAGTATTGCACACAAATTATATGCAAGTGGGGAAGGGTGGTGAAAAGATATTATAATTTGTAGTGTCTGTTATCGTAAGCTACAGTCCATTGGAATAGAAATATATTGATTGGAGTGTTTGGCCAAAATTTCTTCACAAACGAACAAGCAATTGACGAACCATATTCTTTTTAGGTTGTTAGGTTGTGCAATCTGAATATGCACTCTGAATATGCACACTACATCTTCAGCTTTTGCTCACTTTGCCCCGTCCAAAACATCATCATCTTCGTCTCGTCTTATATTATATTGTTCAGTATAATTTAATTATACTTTCTGAACGTGAACTTGGATTACTTTAATAATGACATTTTTTTTTCATATAAAGGCAATACCATCTAATCCGAATAATTAAAATATGAATATATGAGTGTTTTTTTTTTTTTTTGTTCACTCGACAAACTATGGTTTACTTTTTGTTAATTTTAATGTTTAATATTTGTATTCTTAGATTTTGAGATCTTGCCAAAAGAAGGAAAAATGCTTAGATTTTTAGTATGTTAATATTTAAACATCTACTTATCAATTTCAATTTGTATACTCCCTAGTGTACGATTTACACAGCTATCACAATGGAGTACGAGATTTATAATGATTTTTCGCATTAACTTGTATATCTTTGAAGGAACATGTTAAACTTGATGACAAATCTTTCGTATAGAAATATGATTTTAGCACCGAGATTGGCATATGCATCTAACGCGCTTTGCATGGTTTGATGGACGGAATTAGTAACATCGCAAAGCTTTAAGATATGTATGCTATTATGTCAATTTTTGGTGTATCAATTTAATGGACTTAAAAAAAGTTGACTTAATTGATTAAAAATATAAATTTAGTGCCCTAAGTATAATCATCTGAATTTCAGTGACCCACTTGAAATTGAGATGCAATTGCAGTTACCCCACAATAATGAAAGATTAGAAATGAAACAGAAATTGCCTATGAACTTTTTTTTTTTCTCTAATTTTTTGCGCCCTTTAACGTTCAAGCATTTCAGGTTAGTTGTAATTTGTGGATATGATGGTGTGATGATTGTGAAACAAGCAAAAATTTTCAATTTTTTGATTTTGGTGCTGAAATTTTGACGAGGAAAGTGTAGATATGGTGATTGAAGACGGTGACACTTTTGAACGGTGTTCTAAAAAGCATAAAACGTGACTTAATATGGAGGCGATAAAACGTGACTTGACATGGAGGTGAAACTTCAAACTTTACGAGCTTAAACGAGTCTAAACAACACATGGGAGTAAAAAAAAAATTTCTTATTTTTAATATTATTTTAAATTTTTCATCATTTTTAAAATTGTTTAATAATTAAAATAATACATGTCAAATATCTAAAATTATATTTACTTAATAGTTCCTATAATTAGTTAATTACACAATTTTCAAATTTTCGAAATGAAAATTAGACTAATTTTCATATTTTCAATTTTCAACTAGAAAAGTCATACTTAGGATGTATTTAAGCCACATTATTTTGGAAAAATATATTTTGTCATAGTAGATTGATGGATAATGTGTGGTTGAAAAAGAAAGAAAAGTTATTGATCTGATTAAAAATATTATTTTATTGAAAAATGTGTGGTTGAAAATAAGTAGAAAAATGAGAATAAAAATTTAATGTGGCTCAAATAGGGGCTTAATAGATTTATATGAATTTCATACATATTTTCGATTTTGTAACAAAAAAATGAGTCTCAAGATCATAATTGCATAATGTTGATTGCATTATAACTTAAATCTTATTCAGCTCTTTATTTAATAAAGTCATTTTTAACTTTTGTACAGATAAAATCTTTTAAAATCTTAAAACTAAAGTCAAATAAAAGAAAAAAATAAAAATTCTAATAAAGCAATCCTAGAAAAAACCGAAAGAGATGAAGGAAAAAATTCAACTGTTTAGAAATTGAAAAAAGAAAAAAAACGCATAAGCACAAAACGAGATATTTTGCCTGAGTTTAGAGCCTAGGTGCAGTCTAGATGAGTTTTTTAGAAAACTACTTTTGAGGATGGAAATGGTGATGGTGGAGATGGAATGTGATTGGAGATTGTAGGCGTAGTGTAGTTTGCTCAGAGATGGTGGGCTTTTTAGTGATAGTACGATGTAAATCTTAAGAATGTGGTAGTGGAGATGGCGACAATGGTAGTAGTTTTGTTGGTAGAATTAGGTGATGGAGGTAATTGTTTGACATAGTATGTTACACGTGGTGGTGGCGACAACAGTAACGAAAGGAGTGATGGTATAACAATAAATATTTTAGGGGGTGGTGGTGGTGGTGACAGGTGAAAAAAGGCGAAAAAATGTGTACAATGCACTTTTCACAAGTGATGTTGATGATGATCCTGGTGACAGACAATGAGCATGGAGACAAGGTCGTGAAAGATGTGTAATATATTTTTTTGTGAAACGTAACATGTTGAGTTACAAAATTTATTTTAAAAAATTAATCAACTTTTTGAATGTATTTTTCAATTGTTCCCTATTTAATCATTTGAGTTCAAGTACCCGTTACGAGTTTCGAATTTTGATGGATTTGTCAATCAAAAAGTGTGGACTATCTCAAACTCTCATCTGGTGAGTATTATACCTCTAGTTGTAATGCAATTTAATCACCTTGTATCCATATAGCTTAGCTAATATAAAATTATTATTTTTCCTCTAATAATGTAGCTTAACATATAACTAACTTAGTCCCTCTTCAGTAGGGATTAAAATTCAAATTTTAATTTAAGTCAAAATCAACAATTAATTTTATCAAAATCTACTAAAAAATTAATTTTTAATCCCCACTTATCAAGAGCTGACTAAAGAATGCCCATCATTAAATTGGGTAATTCATAGTCGTCTCATGCAATCGAAGAGACAGATTTATGGTACAAAAGGAGCACAATCTATCCACTAAATCTCTCCACAAACTTTATATATATATTTTAAATATCCTCAAAGCTGCTAGATTCTTGTCTACTTTACATTTAAATACAGAATTAAACTCTGCGTACATGGCTTAATTTCACAGGGGTCTTACAGGGCCGTCACTGTACACAGGGCCCCACCCCCAATGTGAACAGTCATTGTCATTTATTTTATAAGACTCTAATCAATTTTTAAACAAAAGAACAGGGAAAAAAACTCAAAATAAATAACTAATAAACCCAAAGAAATTTTAAAAAACAAATCAAACGTAAAAAAAAAAAAAA